TGTGTGTGTGTCTGTGTGTGTGTGTGTGTGTGTGTAATAAATTCAGTAGAGCGTTTACAGCTTCACTGATGGAGACACAGCTGGAAGCAGTGTACAGCGTCAAGAGGGATGGTGAACCACTTGGGGGGGGGGGGAAGGTTTGCTCTGATGAAGGGCATCAAACAGCAGAGGTGGGAAAAATGAGGCCTAAACATCCCCCCCCCCACACACACACGGCGGGATTAGTACTCGTCATTCACTGTCTGGCTTAACCAATAAACAGCAAGAGCAAATAGGTGACAATGTGTGTAACTGGAGAAATGAAAACACAGGAGGCGGAATTTTAAGCCACATTGTTCACTATGAAATGCTCATTTCTGCCATCACTTAAGATTTAAATATATATATATATATATATATATATCCATACGCATTTCATAAGGCAGAATTCTGATTAAAATCCCACCTTTATTAAAACAAACCTGCAAATCCAGCTGAATATTGACTATATTTATTCCTCTTGCCTTTGCCACATGCTCCCATCTATCACAACTAGGGCATTTTTCCACGGCACCAAGTACGGTACTTCTGGAACTTTCCCCTTTTCCACTGACTTCCTATCAAGTACCAGTACCAAAAGTTCAAGATCCTAACCAGCTGGGGTACTTTCTTGGCATGAAAACAGTCACAAAAAAGGTAATCGCAATGGATGCATGGACAAAATAAATGAAGAGAGCCAAGCTTAAATTGTGAAGAACAGATAAAAGAGGATGAGGATGGCAGGATAAGAAATAGAGTATTTAAATAAGATATGACAGCACCGTATTGGAACATTTTCAAATATCTCAATGTGATTGTTGTAATAATTATTTTGGTATTCATAAAGCAAAAAGGAGTTCAAATTTCTCACAAAGCTGTAGGAGAAGATGATTACGATCATCTCAGTGAACACATGCGGCACTCATGCAAACTAAACTGATATTTATACACATACTAGATAATCTTGAAAGGGAATAATCATTAACACTGCAAAACTTGGAAAGTTTTTTCCCAATGATACAGTAAAATTGGTTTAGCGAAACAAACTCCCTGCGCTACTATGTCCATGCAGAATAGAAGGTAAGAAAACGCCTGATCTTACTGTAGCTCACTAGTGATGTAAGAATTTAATGTGCATAGCATGTGATGCTGGTATTAATATCACACATTGTCCAGCCCTAATATACTACAGTCATTTTTCAAATTTGGTACCAAATACAGCACCTTGCGTTGAGATATCATTCAGTGCCGGTACCAGTTTCTATGCCAGTGGAAAATCAACACCTTTAAGCGCCATACTTTTGGTACCTTTTGCGGCGGAAAAGCACCCCTAGATGGTGCAAGAGAGACAAAATGCTATCCTGCCTCATTGGCAACATAAATGGCTTTTCAATGCCAATATTTTTAGTGTGTGTGTGTGT